CAACAAGCAGTGCGTCAGTGTGCGCCTGGGATCCAAACCGGTCAACCCCAGGCCACCGCAGCAGAGCGCAGGCACTTAACCGCTTGCACCACCAGGCCGGCCACCCGTGTAGAGCTTTTTTGATAATCTTCATGCTCATTATGTTTTCTGGACAACCACACATGTATATGGTATGGGACATTCCTTATTGCTTTGGCCCAGACATCTTTGTTGAGCCTAGTGTCAATTCGCACATCTGGAGTTCCCATCTCCTTCACAGCAAATTTCCAAATCTCTTTGAGTGCCCTTCTTGCTACCCTTCTTTGTGGGAGCCATTCTGCCGGGCCTAAGTTGAAAAGCTGTCTTGTTTTCTAATAGAATAGATTAAATAGGTTAATATTTTCAAAAAAAATTTTAAGACGAATCAAATTGCCAACAGCACAAAGTCAAATTTCTTTTTTTTTTTTGGTGAGGAAGATTGGCCCTGAGCTAATATCTATTGCCAATCCTCCTCTTTTTGCTTGAGGAAGATTGTCACTGAGCTAACATCTGTGCCAGTCTTCCTCTACTTTATATATGGGATGCCACCGCAGCATGGCTTGATGAGTGGTGGGTAGGTCAATGCCTAGGGTCCAAACCTGCAAACCCCAGGCCGCTGAAGCAGAGCATGCGAGCTTAACCACTACACCACCAGGCCGGCCCAGACAAAGTCAAATTTCTAAAGTATCAAGTTTCTGACCTAAGTCCTGTTAAAGTTTCAATATCTTCAATGAGTCCATATCGTTTCATCCTAACATAAGTCCTAGCAGTCCCTGATGAGGTAGAACAACTTTGTAGCTTTGTCTGATTTCTTTCCCTCTTAGTCTTTGGGCATCCTATAAAGAGAACCCCTCAATCTGGTACCCTCCCTGGCACCCAAGAAAGAGTCTACCATGTTGTGCTTTCCAAGGGCAGAACACTCTACAACATGGAGCTGAAATCAGTGTTGTGTGAGCAACATTGTCCAATAGAATCTTCTGTGGTGATGAAAATGTCTCCGTGCTGTACAATATGGTAGCCACTAGCCACAGTGGCTATTGAGCGCTTGAAATGTAGCTAGTGTGACTAAGGAACTTTTATTTAATTTTTATTAATTTAAATCTAGCCACATGTGGCTAGTGGCTATCATATTGGATAGAGCAATTCTAGAGCTATTCCACTCAGTTCCTATATTTAATCTAAGGGTCACACCTTGTTCATAGTTCATTCAAGAGCAGTGACACCCATTTGAAACCAAAGAATGATCTACCCCTGCCAGGCCTGAGCTATCAGGTTATCAGTTCCACCTACTTCTGGAATATTTAATGTGATTTACAGGCGCAGGAGAGTTTGTCAAAATTAGTTTCCATCCACAAAGACCATATTAATACTTTAATCATACATAAAATCAAACATGTTGTAGGTAGAAGGAAGATGTATTCTTTCATACTTGCACATAGTGTGTCTTGTCTTGAAGATAAGGGAAGAAAAGTACCTTACATTTCTCCCCAGTGGCCTGCCTAGAGCAGGCATTGAGAGTATTCTCCACTCTATAATTCTAACAGATCCAGCCCAATCCTGAGATATCCCAGCTCTAGGGACACCTTAAGGTATCAATTAATTTGGGTTATAAAAGGCATTTTCCATACATTCAAGTTTCCTACTTCCATGTGAAGGAGTTCAGAATGAGCCTCCCCCAAATGTGCCACTTTTGTATATGGATTATTTTGAGCTAAAGGCAATGGAGAGCCTGTGAGCTCAAGAGAAATTTTTGCCCCTCCCTTAACAACCTAGAAGAATTTAAATTGAGGGTCTTTCCTATAATAAGACTTATTACTAGAGATAAATTTTACTGAGTGACCCATCTGTATGGCAGGGCAAACATCTAATTACCCAACATCTGCTCTTCTTCTTATCATCCTGTGAATTGTCTTCCTCCCCTTTGAAGCCCCAGGCCTCTATCTCATTCCTTAGCTCAGGATGGCATATATACCTCATTTTACTTTTCTGTCCTTGAACTGCTCATGTATGTGGGGTTCCTGTATGTAGAAATTAAACTTGTTTTCCTCCTGTTAATCTTTCTCATGTCGATTTGATTATTAGACTAGCCAAAAGAACCTTGGAAGGGTAGAGGAAAGGTCTTCCTCCCCAATACAAGCAACAGCTACTGTAAAGCTGGTTTGGCACATAGAAACAAAATACAAATACTTCTCTGCACTGCCTCCTGAGGTGAGGTCTAGAGAGATCTAATACCAGTTCCAGCCTGGCCATCCTTGCCTCAAAAAGTTCTACATGTTACAGGTTTTCACAAAAGTGGGAGATTTTTTTTTTGTTGAGGTCATAATAGTTTATAACATTGTGAAATTTCAGTTGTACATTATTATTTGTCAGTCACCATATATATGTGCCCCTTTACCCCTTATGCCCACACCCGCACCCCCTTCCCCTCTGGTAACCACTAATCTGTTCTCTTTGTCCATGTGTTTGCTTATCTTCCACAAATGAGTGAAATCTTATCGTGTTTGTCTTTCTCGATCTGGGTTATTTCGCTTAAGATAATACCCTGAAGGTCCCTCCATGTTGTTGCAAATGGGACTATTTTGTCTTTATTTATGGCTGAGTAGTATTCCATTGTGTGTGTGTGTGTATATGTGTATATACATATATATATATATATATATATATATATCTCACATCTTCTTTATCCATTCATCAGTGGATGAGCACTTGGGTTGCTTCCACTTCTTGGTTATTGTGAATAATGCTGCCATGAACATCGGGGTGCATAAGTCTAGAAAAGTGGGAGATTTTGTTGCCCTGTCTCAGAGTGATGTAACCTGAAATTTCCTATTTGGTGGAATTTAGAATACAGCTCCCAAAGCCCTTGACACTTAGCACATTGTTTTATAGGTAATTGTTTACCCATCTGCCTCCTTGTTAGACTTTTCATCCATTTATTTGTCCAGTAAGAACTGAGCGTATACTCTGTGCTAGGTGCTGGTAGCAAAGCAGAGAACAAAACAGACAAAGTCACCTATGAAACTTAGGCTCCAGTGGAGGGAAACTGGTAATACATAAGTAAACAAATATGCATGATAATTTCAGAGAGCGATAAGTGTTATGAAGAAAATACAATAGAGTAATGTGACAGAGTGAGGGTCTCATTTAGACCCTGTGGTCAGGAAAGGCCTCAGAAGAGGGAAGGTTTAAGCCGAGCTCCAAATACAAAGTTGCCAGCTCTGCAAAGGCATAAACAGCCTACAAAGGCAGCAGATAAAAAGTCTATGTTTACCATTAGAGCACAGTATTTCTTTCCTTTTGATAATGGTATTCTTAGTGCCTAACATAATGCTTCGCCATTTTAAGCATAAATAAATGTACTAAATGTTGATTTAAATTATTTTGGTTAATCCTCACAAGAACAAGACAGAGGAAGAAAATTGAGACACTAAATAACTTACCCAAAGGCATGCAGTGGATAAGTAGCAAAGCCAAGATTGACCTTAACTCAGACTTCTGACCCCAGAAATTATGCTTCTAATTAACCAGTGAGTCTCCTTGAACTCCAGCATCTGAAGTACTTCCTAAAAATGCAGCTTTCAGCATCAAGCCAAACCAACTGAATTAGAATCTCAGAGGGTAGGGATTGGAAACCTGAATTTTTGACAAGCCGTCCAGATGATTCTTATGCACACTGAAGTTTAGGACCACTGTGCTTTGTTGAAAGAATGAATGAAAGAGACAGGTCCTCTGCTATTTGTACTACTTTGCCCCTCCTCTTGCAAATTCCTAGGCCCCTAAGCTCTATAAATGCCCGTTCTCTTAAACTTTAAGCCCTTATAGTGATAATCAGATCAGTTTAACACTGTGTTACAAGAAAGAAGAAACCCCAGAATCTCCTGAGTCCTGCAGGATGGCTAAAGAAAAACACCTTGACAAACCCTCTGTACCAACATTCTCCCAGGCCCCCACCACCACCACCCAGCTTCACTGTAACCTAACCAAGGGGATGACCTAAAATCTGACAGCTCCAGGGACATCAGGTCCTATTACCAGTTCACGTAAGTTCTGGAGCCAGCCTTAAAAATTGGCTCCTCTGCTGAGCAAGCGTGAAGTATGCTCAGGACCTCTGAACTAAGCTGGCCACCAGCCTCCATGCCCCCACACCCCATTCCAGCTACCTAAAGCCTACCCAGCCTTATAGGTTAGTTCTTCAACTGCCTCTCCTCAGGGGAGAGAGCCAGGGATCCTGCAAACTGAGGGAGACCTGGGGTTGAACCACACCTTCCCTGAGAACTAGGTGGGAAATCTCCAGAATGGAGGAACTGCATCTTGACTATATGTCGCATAGGTTTAGAGTTGCCAGATGAAATGCGAGATGCCCAGTTATGTCACAACTATTGCATGGGACATACTTATTCTAAAAAAGTATTTATTGTTTATCTGAAATTCACCTTTAACTAGGCGTCCTGTTTTTTATTTGCGAAATCCGGCAGTCTACTTGGGGTACAAGCCCCCAGGCCCTTTGTAGGAGCATTCAACTAATGGTGCTGTCTCCACAAACAAGCATCTGATTCGAAAGGACACCAGGGCGGGGGACCAAGTCTAGGGGCGGGACTGGGGACAGGGACCAGCTCTAGTGGCGGGGGGGTGGAGGACACCAAGGGGGGGGGGGGGGGGCACATCAGGGAGGAGGAGCTATAATAGGGAGGCCCAGTGTGTGTGAGCGTGCAAGGGTAGCTCTGTCACTTTAATTATGAGAGAACAGAGGGCTGATGGAGCTCCTGTGATAGACTCAGTTTCAGCACTACTTATCTCCCTCACTCTCCCCCAAATGTGTGACCAGGATTACTGTCCTATTTTGTGAGACCCCAGGGACACGCCTGGACATATGTCAGCCGCTCATACCGGTCTCGCCCACCTGCCAAGGTTCGGAGCCCGCGCGGGCGCCCTGGGGCCCCGCCCCCCGCCCGGCGGCGCTGGCCACGCCCACTTTGTTAGCCTACCCTTTTCTGGGTCAGCTGGTGCCGGCGTCAGGCGGAGGGATGGGCTGGCTTGGCTCGACCCGAGAGGGCTTGTTTACTATGGCTGATGATCTGGAGCAGCAGTGAGTTAATCCTGTCTCTTTCTCTCTGTCTCTCTCTGGGCCATGATCCTGGGACTGTCTGTGGCTGAGGAACAGTTTTAGACACCTTCCCGCCTTTCCTTTTTCAGGTCGGCTTCAGGGAACGGCTGAGGGTTGCGTTTGCTTGCTTTGCTTTTGCCCAGAAGAGGCAGCGACAGAGCCAGGCGAGCGATGGAAGATAAGCTTGCCTGCGGCTCAGCGATTCTGACTTTCCGCTTTAGTCTTCAGATCGCTCCTCGTTCTCCTCTGGTCGCTGTACCCTGGGTTGGATTTAGTGGTAATGGCTCAGATTCCCCGAAGCAAGCTTGTGGGACGTGGGTGCGCGGGTAGCAGCCTGGTCTGCTCGTCTGGAATCGTCCCAGGACTGTAGTCGGGGGTGTGGGAAGAGCCTCGCCTAGCCAGGCAAGGAGAGGGCCTGGGAAGAAGAGAGAGACCTCCACCGCGCTGGGCTTGGTCTGGAGGAATGGGCTTGCAAGTTTGTTTAGCTCTCGCCCGCCGAGACACTTAGCCGCCTGCGATCCTAGTTGATGATGTTTTTAATCATCATAACAACATCTTTAATGCTGTGGTTTCAGACTTAGGGCTTTGGGAATATGTTACCACTCTCAAGGGCGTCAGGTTTGGGATACCACCTGTAGGTGGTGTGACTAGCAGTTGGCAGTCTAACAGCAGCAAGGAAAAGTTGCTTGGAGAATGACTCAGCTCCCAGCCAAGCCTTGGTTTCACCAGAACAGGGCCTTTCCTGGATCCTGTATTCCCGCTTTTCAGAGCCACAGAACTGGCAGCTTGGAAAATCAATTAACTTTATGACAATAATAGCTTCCTGGGCTTGAAGGAACTGCCCAGGAGAGGATTGCTTTCTAAGATGACCTCTCCAAGAGGAAATTGACAATGGCTACAATGACCTAGGGAAACACAGAATATTAGAGCTGGTAGAAATGCAGGTAGTTCAGCTCTGTTTTACAAATGAAGAAGCCATTGCCCATAGGAGACCTGCCCCAGATCACAGAGGTCCAGATAGGCTTCTCACCCAGCACAGAACCCCTCTACCTCACCCCCCATCAGGATAAAAGCAGGGAAGAGAACACCCTGGCCAGGCTAAGTTCATGGCTAACTGGCTTCTCTGCTCTTTGTCTCAATTTCCCACTGCAGCCCTCATCTCCCCAATGGTATTGAGCAGATGGGGTGCCAGGCACCATTTCCAGTGCTTGACCTGTAGCATTTTTGGTGAAAAAGAGTGCAAAATAAAGATCTCCCTGAAGAGTATCTGCTGAGCAGCCCTTGGTGCTGTTCCTTGGGACAGCATGTGGGGTCCAGGTGTCATGGTCTGACTTGTCACAGCCTCTCTGATTTGGAGAGAAAGTTTGTCTCTTCAGACTGGCAAAATTCTGTGGTCTTGGTGCCCATGCTTCAAGCTTACAAGGAATTCCAGTAGAGCGTTAAAAGAGTTCAGAGTCTCTGTGGGATTGGATTGGTTGAGACTGACAACTCTCATCTGGCTACAGGCATTGATGTACCACTCTCATCTGCATCCTCAGTATTTCTTTCAGTCCTCAAGCAGTCATCGAGAGTTGCTACTTGCAAAACGCTGGGAATATAGACAGCTTGTGATTTAGGTGGGGAAGAAGAACACTGATTGGGAGTTTATCTTGTACAAGGCATTACTCTGTGTGTTTTAGATGCATTGACTTATTTAATCTTTATAATAACCCTATGAGGTAGATACTATTATTACCTCCCTCTTAAAGATGAGGAAACCCTGACGAAGGAAGGCTAAATAAAGTCACATTGCTGGTCAGTGGGAGTGCCAGGGTTAGAATTCTGGCCTTCTGGCTTTAAGTCACACCTCCTTTCAGAAAGCAGAGACAAGTGTGAAAATGTGTTTATGTGCTGTGAGTATCGTGCACGGCCTTAAGAAGCTGAGGATGGAACGTCCAGAGGAGAGGTACCGAGAAAGTTGGATTTGAGATCTGGGTTCTAGTTCTGCTTTTTTCTAATTGACTGTATGACCTCTTTGGGCATCAGTTTACTCACCTGTATAATAAAGAGGCTGGACTTGACGATTTCTAAGGAACCATCCTAAAAATCTAAAATTCTGTGCTTCAGATGATGTATCAGGATGCCAAAGGGGTTGGTAATGATCCCCTGGACCCCCCACTGAATGCCCCCACTTGACTCTGCCGATGTTCACAGGCCCTTCCTGTAGCTGGTGGTGTCCTGTAATCCCCTTCATCCAGGCAGAGTTCAAGAAAAGAGAAATATCATATGGGATGGAAAAGGAATAATAAAAATCAGTCATTGAGCATCTCATTTGTCATGGACACCTTATGAGATCCCTTCCATATCTAGACGCTCAAAGACAGGTTATTTAACAGGCCAAAGCCTTTCTGCTTGTGAATGATAATACCGTGACTCACATCCAGGTTTGTTTGTTTTTTTTTCCTTCATTCTGAAACTGGTTCTTTCAACCCCTACCCTGCAATGAGTTAACGTCCCCTGTGTATAAAGAAGAAAGCAGGATAGGTTCTTATCTGTTGTACTACATGCCATTGGATGTGAGGGCATATGTGAGCTTTCTACTCATTTTATAATCTGGAAAACAAGGCCAGAGGCAACCTGTGTCCTGTCAGTGAATCACAGCAGGCCTTGAACCCAGGTCTCCCGCCTCCTGCTCCCTGCCTATCCTGCCTCTTTGGCTTGAGGCTGGGCTGATGGATTGCCTGAGAGCCCAACTGGCCACTGACACACTGTTTTGTATTTCCAGGGACTTGGAAGAGGGCACACACAAACCCCAGTGCCCTGCGAGGAGGGCAGGTAGCCTGGGAATTTGTCCTACCCTAAAGGAACATCCAGTCCTGGGGATGGCAGAGGATAACTGAAACGTTAGTTAGAAGTTGGCTTTTTTCCCCTTGTCATCTCCTTGAATAATATGATAACCGGTAACAAAGGGGGGTTATAAAGCTCAAATGAGATAATAAATGTGAAAGAGCTTTGTAAACTGTAAAGTGTTGTGCACATGGTGTTCTGAATATCTATTGGAACAAAGGGCATGCTGTTGTTAATAGCCATTTACCAAGAAGAGTAACAGTCTATCAGGCAGCGAGGGAATTGCTGACTGCCCGAGTGGCAGGTCTCCTGAGCCTGGGAAACACCCTGCACCATGATAACTCTTGTAACTGTCAGCAAGGCTGAGCGCATCAACATTGCCAATGTTGCCAATGAGTGTCTCTGTGTCTCCTTGTCCCAGGCCTCAAGGCTGGCTGAGTAGCTGGCTGCCCACTTGGCGCCCCACTTCAATGTCTCAGTTGAAGAATGTGGAAGCCAGGATCCTCCAGTGTAAGTAGAAGGGATGGCTTGTCCCACCTCCCTCAGGAGGCCCAAGGTGGATACAGGATCTTCCCAGAGCCTGGTACACTGAGCCTACTGATTCCTGATTAACAGTGCTTGGGGTGAGAGGAAGGGAGTTCAGTGATTTGAGGGAAGAGATTTACACAGAGAACACCATATTCTATGCTAGTGGTTCCTTGGCGTCTCCCTCCCTAACCATCATCCCACAACTTCACCTCAAACCCTACGCCAACTACTAACACACAACCCACACAAATATACACATTCTCTCCTGCCCTTCTACCTTCTCTCCCTCTCTCTTCTTCCAAACACACAAGCACTTTTGTGTGTGTGTGTGTGAGGAAGATTAGCGCTGGGCTAACATCCATGCCCATCTTCCTCTGCTTTATGTGGGACGCTTGCCACAGCATGGCTTGAACAGCGTGGCTTGATGAGCAGTGCGTAGGTCTGCGCCCGGGATCCAGACCTGCAAACCCTGGGCTGCCAGAAGCAGAGTGCATGAACTTAACCACTATGCCACCGGGCCAGCCCCCGATAAGCACTTCTTAGATTTACCACCTTAGTATCCGAGAACTAGCAGGCCTATGTTCTCTAATAATTCTATTCCTTGTGTTCTACGCAGTTAGGCGCTGCCACTTATCTGGTTACCACAATAGTTTGGGATTCCCACAGACCAGCTCTTGTGGCAGGATTATATTGGGACAGGGTACCCTGTGAGTGGCAGCAGCCAATGGCTCAAACAAGACCCTTGGGCCATGTCTCCTCATATTTCCTGTATGAACTTCCCCACCCAGCACCCACTGCCCCAGACATGGCTGCCGTCTCTCTTATGAGCCCGAGTTAGTGCAGCTGCAGAAAAGCCACAGCGTTCAAGCCTCTGTCCAGGATCCAGGGGCCATCCCCCAGGCCGCTCTGTCACGAGACGTCTCTCATGCCAGCAGGGCAAGCACTACCCACCTCGATCTGTCTCTAAGAGGGATAAACCTGTGGCTCAGTCCACACCCATCACCCCCTATATCTGGCTCAACTCTAGTCAGAAGCTACCCTCCCAGATACCCTTAGTGAGGACACTTCTGTCCATCTGTTAAGCTTTAAGTACACAAAGTACGAGGGCGATGGATGCAGGAGCTCTGTGGGGTCAGTGGGGTCACTGTCACCCTGGACCCAAAGGGAGCCAGGCAAAGGGCCTCAAGGAATAAGATGGCCCATCTTATTACCTAAAGATTAGATGGTCGACAAATTGTGCTTGGAGTTGAACTCTTGGGGTGTATGGTCAGAGGCATGTGAAAGGAAAGACGTGAGGGAGGTCAGCAAGGGTTTGGGAACGCAGAGAGAGGTAGTTCAGGTAAAATGATGCTGTCGTCAGAAAACAGTCTTATTGCTCTGCCCTGGATTCCCCTCTCCCCAGGTCTCCAGAACAATTTCCTGGCCCGATATGTGTCCCTCCCAAACCACAACAAGATTTGGACAGTGACTGTGAGCCCTGAGCTCAGGGACCGCACCCCCCTGGTGATGGTGCACGGCTTCGGGGGCGGCGTGGGCCTCTGGATCCTCAACATGGATTCACTGAGTGCCCGCCGCACTCTGCACACCTTCGACCTGCTTGGCTTTGGACGAAGCTCGAGGCCAGCATTCCCGAGGGACCCAGAGGGGGCCGAGGATGAGTTTGTGACCTCGATAGAGACGTGGCGGGAGACCCTGGGGATCCCCAGTATGATCCTCCTGGGGCACAGTTTGGGAGGATTCTTGGCCACTTCTTACTCTATCAAATACCCTGAAAGGTAAGGAGGAGCCACGCCTCTCACTCATGACCTAATTCCTTGCCTTGCTGGGAACCTTCCAGTATTAGTTTCCAATAGTTCTCTTCTTCCTGGGATTTAAAGACTATGGTACCTCCAAGCAAATACAACTTGTCTTCTCCTGTTTCCTCCTTTAGAGTTAAACACCTCATCCTGGTGGACCCATGGGGCTTTCCCCTACGGCCGACTGACCCCAGTGAGATCCGTGCACCCCCAACTTGGTTAAAGGCTGTGGCCTCTGTCCTAGGGCGTTCCAATCCACTGGCTGTTCTTCGAGTAGCTGGGCCCTGGGGTAAGTAGCCTGCAGATAAAGAAACTATCTCCTCAAACCAAGGCTGTCCCATTCTAGAAGCCCCACTGTGTCTGGACTCCCACCATCCTCGCTTGTTCATGAAAAGTAGGAATGGGTCTAGCGTTGTTATTTAAAGCTATTAATCTGGACCAGATCTCTTTGTCGGCAATTTTTCCTTCATTTGCGTGGAAGAAGCTTTCCTATGCAAGGGACAGATGGAGCAGAACTGTTACTGTGTGTGTTGACTAGACCCCCAGAGAGAGAGTGAAAGGGGCCATCAGGTGACTCTTCCTCTGCTGAATTCTTGTGCCACATGTATGAGTTTATGGCAACCTGTTGGTGATTCAGCCTGGTAGCCACCACTGGATCCTAACTCTGCAGCTCACCCAGCACCTGCAGCAGGGAGGTATCAGAACCTGAGCCCCCAACGTAACCCACAGTGGCAGGCAAGCCCCTCTAAACCATGCCCTGCTCCAGTCAGACACCACATCTTCACCACTTAGTAGCTGTCAGCAAATTCTGTGGGTAAAGGGAGGGAAGGAGTTCGGGAGAGCCAGCCAGAGTAAGTAGAGTCAGTAGTTCCAGCCTTCTGACCTCACACTGCCAGCACCCTTCCTTTCTGGGGAGCTTTTTACTCTGATGAAGTGAAAAGTGGATTCCCTTTATGGAAAGGATTGGTGACCTTCTATCTTGCACTGATGGCTTATGTATACACAGTGACATTCAGTAGCCAATTATGAGTTAGTTGCTAATGGCTAAATAAGAGTTGTCTCTCTAGGCCCTTTAAGAGAAACAGATGGCTCTGGATAAAAGAGAAAAGTGAGCATTTGATTAGAAGGCAGGAGTTTAGGAGTTTTAGGAGGAAGGAAGGATACCAAGAGACACAGGTGCCAAGGGAGAGTAACTGTGCAGAGGGCTGACCTTCTTAGAGCTCCCAGCACTGGGGACTCTTGCAGAGCCTCTCTAATCCTTTTCCAGGGAGAGGCCCTGCTCTAATCACTCTCCCTTTTCTGGACCTGAATCTGGCCAGGTTCATGGATGGGCATCAGAGCCAGTATGGTTGGGGCGGTTGGCTGGCAGCTGTAGAGAGGCCAGGCCCCAGGGGATCCTGGCTGTGCGTCCCTCTCATCCCTTGCTTCTCACATACAGAGAGAAGACTAGAAGAGAGAGAGAGGTCAGAGGTTGACTCTTAGGCCCAATTTTTACAGTCTGTTTTGGGTGCCCTGCTTGTGTATGTTCTATATAAAGAAAGGTGAAGGGAACAGATTGCTCTAAAACTGTGCCCCGAGTCTGGGCTGCCAATGTGAAGTTTACATCTCACGCGTATTCTGTCACAGGCCTGGACATGAGAGGGCTCTCGGGAGGTGGTCGAGTTTCATCCACTGCTTCAGAGATTAAAGGCCATGAGGGTCTCAGGGAGAACGAGAACACAGCTCAGACTATAAACAAAAAGCATCTTAACTGTGGATTCCCAGGGGGCTGGTGATTCTTGGTGGAAAAGATCTTGGGACTTCACTGAGCTGAGCTTAATCTGGTTCCTCGGTGATGGTAGACTGTCTAAATTCTTTAGTAACCAACTGACTCTCATTTGTAGTCATCTGGAGCGTCCCAGAAGACTTGCAGACTTTTTCTGCCGCTATAACGTTAACTATACAAAGCAAACAAACCCTTAGGAGAAATAATCACGTTTGGTTGAAGCTGTTAGAACAGACACCGGCAGGAGTCTTTCCCCTACCCAAACTGGCCACTCTGTGTTTTTCTGTTCCCTCCCAGGGCCTGGCCTGGTGCAGAGATTCCGACCAGACTTCAAGCGCAAGTTTGCAGACTTCTTTGAAGATGACACCATATCAGAGTATATCTACCACTGCAACGCACAGAATCCCAGGTGAGGGCAGTTCCCAGAGCCAGCTCAGGGTGGACGGGTTTGGAGATAAAACTCCAGCTGCTGGAAAACTCCACAACTGTCCTGGCATCATTCTGTGCTGTATTTCTTCTTCCGCAAAGCTCTCATTCAGTTAGGGGAACACAGGCATTAGCAGACTTGATCATTTCCAGAGACTTCCCCAGGGATAGGCACAAAGGGATAGAGAAGATACTAGATTCATTCAACATGTCGCCATCTCTAGAGGAGACCCTTACTCTTCCTTAGAGATATGCAGTTAGTCTGACAGGAAAGAGTCTGGAAAATATTTGAAAAGATCTTTTTTTTTAGCTGAGAAAGTGATATGAACGTGGTATTTTTTTAAAGGCAAAGAAAGAAAGAAGTCTTTCTCTGTCCCAGACCTGTAATTCCCAAATTTCCTTGTTATTGCCTGAGATGTCACGTGACCGTGCCTCAGAGAACCTCCTTGCACATCTTCCTTTGCACACATGTGACTGTATCTATAGAATGCATTCCTACAAATAGAATTGCTGTATGAAAGAGAATGCATGTTAAAATTTAATTTTGTGTACCTTGAAATACTTGTTGTTGGGACAGGAATTCCTTCCATATCTTGTGGAAATTTTAGGGTGTCCCCAGAATCTTGAGAAGTTCATATCTATGACTACTCACAGCAGGCCCCACAAAGCTGCTGATCTGCAGTCAGGGCAGAGTCAGGGAGGTAATCTTCCCCTCAGGCAGTGCGTGCTAGTGGCTGATACCATGAGGCTGCTTTGGTGGTCCCACCTCTGCAGAAGCCTCACCCCAAGTTGCTGGGAGTTATCTCGGGGGAGCCAAGGTCACTGGAAGCAGCAACCCTGCCCCACCTCATTCCAGGCCTGCCCAGGTCACCCGTTTGAGCCCAAAGCTGTGGAGAAGGTGGGGATTTGCATTCCAGCAGCACTGTCTGAGCATTAGCCTCAAACCCAGACAGCTTTCAGGCAGTGTGGGAACTGTCCATCTGACATTTCTCATGAGCTCAGCTAATTGAAGGGCCCCGCTTAGGCAGAAGTATGGAAACTTGGCTCAGCAGTCAAATCAGGGAGCGCCCTATTTCCTGCTCTCAAACCTTCTCTCAGCCCCTACTGGGTTCAGTGCCAGTCATGCACCAACTTGAGGCCCCACAGGCCCAACCGTAGCCCTTTCCTCAGAGCATTCCCCAGTCCCAGACCTAGTTCTTTATGGTGAATGGCCTCCCAATGTCAGCCACAGAATATGTAACTATGCAACTCATTCGTGTCCTGGAGGAAGTAGAGATGACATCAGTGATGTCATCAACCAGTCCCCTATCATGCAATGTTATAACGCCTGCATATTTCTGAGTGGTAACCCTGACAAGTTCACGATAACTCTTACCACTCCCTTGGAAAACATGAAATTTGGCCAGGGAAAAATGTTTGGGAGGTATCCTACTTTTTGCTTCACCTACAAGTAGGGTCTTGGTACGTATTTTCATTTTTCTCACCATGACCTAATAAAGTGGCTATAATCCCTCTCCAATTTGTAGATGAGAAAATTAAGGTGTAATTCCTTATTTAATGCCTAAAGTGTGAGCTAAAATGTGTGCTCAGGAGGGCAGGCACGACAGCTGTCTTGTTCATGTGTCCCCACGCTCAGCTCAGGGCATGACATGTAAATATTTGTTGAATAAACATTAACCCATTGCATTCTTAGGCAATGCTCAGGGCCATGGGGGTTTTCACAAGTGTGTCCCTCCTAACTCTCTTCTGTGACGGGAGACCTCTGGAGATTCAGTCCTATCTCCTAATCTTACTAACATTTTTTTTTTTTTTTGTGAGGAAGATCAGCCCTGAGCTAACATCCATGCTAATCCTCCTCTTTTTGCTGAGGAAGACCGGCTCTGAGCTAACATCTATTGCCAATCTTCCTCCTTTTTTTTCCCCAAAGCCCCAGTAGATAGTTGTATGTCATAGCTGCACATCCTTCTAGTTGCTGTATGTGGGATGCGGCCTCAGCATGGCCGGAGAAGTGGTGCGTCGGTGCGTGCCCGGGATCCGAACCCAGGCCGCCAGTAGCAGAGTGCGGGCACTTAATCGCTAAGCCACGGGGCCGGCCTGTAATCTTACTAACATTTAATGAGCCCAGTGCTGGGCTCTGAGAGGAATACAAAGATGATGGAGATATTGCCTCTGAAGAGACCAACAAGTTGACATTTTATGCTATGGGGTTTATTCTATTAATGACTTCATCCTGTTTTGCTTCTTCAGTGGGGAGACAGCATTCAAAACCATGATGGAGTCCTTCGGCTGGGCTCGGCGCCCCATGCTAGAGCGAATTCACTTGATTCGAAAAGATGTGCCCATCACCATGATCTATGGGGCCAACACCTGGATAGATACCAGCACAGGGAAAAAGGTGAAGCTTCAGAGGCCGGATTCCTATGTGCGAGATTTGGTACGTTGCCTGCCCAAGGAGCAGGGTTGGGGTGGATGTGCTGTGCGTTGAATGCCAGCACATGCTGATTGACTCTCAGAAGGAATGAGCGCAGGCTAGAGAAGGGTGGTGGAAGAGTCAGAGGGGAAAGAGGAATGGACGCATTGAGATAAGCCAGTGGGTTTGAAAGGGTTGGCTCTCTGTAATATCATAATTAGGGGCTTCTCACTTCTGTGTAGCCAGTTCAGCTAAAAGGCAGGTTCTTGGGGCCAGCCCGGTGGTATAGCAGTTCAGTGTGTGTGCTCCGCTGCGGCGGCCCGGGGCTCGCAGTTTCAGATCCCAGGCGCGGACCAACGCACCACTTATTAAGCCATGCTGTGGCAGGCGTCCCACATGTAAAGTAGAGGAAGATGGGCACAGATGTTAGCCCAGGGCCAATCTTCCTCAGCAAAAAGAGGAGCATTGGCAACAGATGTTAGCTCAGGGCTGATCTTCCTCACAAAAAAAATAAATAAATAAAATAAAATAAATAAATAAAAGGCAGGTTCTTGTCCAGTAGCCAGGCCCAGACATCATGCTGCTACTCCAGCCCGCCTATAATTCCCACCCAAAACCAGAGCCGTGAACAGGAGAGCGAATAGTAGAGACCATCATGAAGTCTTCCCACCGCACTCCCACCTTCCCTTTTTTCCTACCCCCCTCCACCCTCATTTGCTAATGAATGTGCTTAATTACGCTGGGTGCCTAATGGGCCCTGGTGTACCAGACCTGTGGATGAAATGAGCAGATTGGTGGTGGGGCTAGCATGAAAGGCAAGATGCAGTGAGTGACCATAGGAGAAGGAGAATGGGATATTGGGTTTCATTGGCTCCCACAGGAACGTGCCAGGATCTGGGGAGAAAGGTGGACCATTGTTTCTCATAAGTGCTCATGGGTGACGGGCAGGCCGGTCTAAGGGAGAAGAAATGGTGCGACGGCTTTCTAGCACCTGGAGTAAAGGGTGGGTTCTTCTCTCCACAGGAGATTGAGGGTGCTTCACACCACGTCTATGCAGATCAGCCACACATCTTCAATGCTGTGGTGGAAGAGATCTGCGACTCCGTTGATTGAGCTGCTCTCCCAAGAGGAAGAGGAGAAAGCCAGAGAGTCACTCTCTCCTCCCTGTCTGCTTACTCACCTGTCTGTCCTTTCCTCACCAACTAACATATGCCAGCCAGGCAGAGTCTTGGGCTGTCCCCAGGGCGGGACCAGAGTGAAGAAGAGCACTCCTGATCCTACACTAAGGGCTAGAGGCAGAAGCCAGAAGAGGCCTTGAGCTCCCCACCCCGGGGAAGAACATAAAGGGTTGCATATTGCCACCCCATTCTCTTCAGGCCCAGTGTTACCCAGATGGTTGTTGTGAAGGGATTGCACCAAGCCACGTTCCCTCCCTGTGCCAAGGGGAGGGTGGCCTCTCTTCCCCTGGGCACAGGAGACAATCTCAGCAGCATTTCCCAGCTCTGGAATGTTTGTGGGGGTAGGTTCCACACAAGAACATCTTCCTCCTCCATCACACCCTGACCCCTGTCCCATGACAGTTCTGTCCAGGGTCTGCTGGGACCAGTTCCCACTTAACTACCAAGAGCAGGTCCTGGGGCTCCCTTGACCTGGGGGGTCATCTCCAAAGCCCTCATTAATGGAGGAAGAACAGGGCAGGGCAGCACATGGCTGGCCCATGGTGGTATAGCTCTCTTCCAGGAGAGCTAAGGCTAAAACCCAGGCCTGCAGACTCCATTTGCTAAGGTTTGAGGCAGGTGCCATTGCCCTGGGGCTGGCCCTGGTCACTGGCCAAGGGTAAGCCCTCCCTGCCCCATTGCACAGGGGTGCTTCTTTCCTGCCCTGTGTCTCAGCCCTGGCTGCCTAAGCTCGGGACACTCAAGTGCTTCCTTCTCTGCCTCTTCTTCCTCCCAACTGGGAGGCCTCTGGGCCTCCCTCTGTGCCTTGGGCCCTGAAGCCCCACCTATAGTACAGAGCAAAGGTGGCCCCTGGTGGAGAGAGAAGGGAAAGGCCCTTCGATCCCAGAGCCGGGTCTGGATTCTCCATGCTCTCTGGTATCCGCAGGATTTCCCTACCTGCCCCCAGAGCTGAGGCCCACCGTGAGCCCCTGCCCATGGTCTAGTGGGGAGCCTCAAGCCAGCAGTTCCCTGTCTTCGGCAGCCACAGGATGGTTCTCACTGCCTGGCCCTCCATCCCTGCCATCTGTCCCCCTGGTCTCCAGCTCATCCCACCACTGACCTACCTGTCACTCTTTCCCAGGGGCTGGTTCCAGATGCTGCTCTGTGGTTCCAGGTGGTAGGCTGGGCCTGACCCCGGAATCAGAGCAGCTCCTGCCTGCTCCTTCACTTTTGTAAAGCCAACCCTTTCACCAGAATAGTATTAACTCCTGGTGCTTTGTACTACTGGTCCAGCTGCCTTGGGCTCCTTTTCTATATTAATAAAGAAATGAGTAAAAACTGCTGGTGGTGATGCTGTTTAATACTGCTCCGATAGGAGTGCTAGGGGTGGTGCTGAATTCACAACAGCCCATGTGATGCCTGAGTCAGAGAAGGGGGCCCTGAGAGGTACCTGCCCTGACGCCACCCCTTCTCCTGTTTAGCGCAGCATTTGCCCTCTAGAGCCAGCCCAGACTCCAGGTCTGCACAGGCCGTCTCAGCCAACTGCCTCAGAGGATGCATGAGGAATGTGGATGGGCTAAGCCTCAATTCACAGGAGGAGAATTAGGCAGAACTGGGTGCTCCCTACTGCCCATTAAATAGCCCCATCTTCTGAAGTTCACATGGGCCTCCATCTGGACTATTCCAGCCTGTTCTAATTCCTACTCATCCTCTGGATCTCAGCTCAAATAGCCCTTATGCAAGGAAGCTTTCCCCTGACCCCCCAGACTGGACTTGTTCCCCCTCTCCTGTGTCTCCATGGCACACTCAACTGCCCCTTTGTAAAACTTAGGAACTTGTGGTCACTTGTTTAATGTCTGTCTATCCTCCCTAGCCCATAAGCTACTTAAGGACAAGGGGCACCTAGTTCATGTTCAGTGAATGTTGGTTTTGATTGAACCAAGAGAAGTGAGATCTGCCAAGTGCTCAGATCATTACCAACAGGGCCTGCTGTGTGGTGGCTGACTCCAGCTAGGCCCAGCATTCCACAGCCTGAGATGGCACATAATACTACATTTGTCATGGTGAATGAATGAATGAACAAATGAATGGAACTCCTGGGCGTAATTACAAAGCTCTAACACATCCCAGGACCCTGCATCTTCTCTGGGACTCGAGATGGCTTGATTGCCAACCCTGCCACATGGAGGAGGGAGTAGGTATTTACAGCTTACTGCATGCGGTGCAGCAGACCTACAGTCGTGAAGAAAGGGGTCCCTGCCTTCAGGAGAAATTGCATTCTACATGGAGAGACATGCTTAATCAAATTATGTAAATCGATATAAAATTGCAACTGAAAAGGGCCATCTATGAGACATTGGGAAGGCCTCACTGCAGAGGCGATGACAGCTGAGTCTGAAGGAAGGGCAGGTGAAGGGGTGGGGGGTGTGTCTGTGGAGAGAACAGTGAGCACAAAGGCCTATTAGCAGGGACGATGGCTGTGAGATGAGGCTGAGGAGGTGGGTGGGGATCCAGTTCCGCAGGACCTCTGGCTGTGAGAAGAATCTTGTGTTCATCCTAAAATCAACGGAAATAAATAACTGGAGTGAGGGTCAGGGTAGGGTAGGGAGTGTAATAAAAATTATTTGAGACTTGAACCGACCACTCTGGCTGCTCTGTGGAGTACAGATTGGAGGGAGAGGCGTCCCTGCAGGGTAAGTTTCAAGCTACTGCAGCAGTCCAGGCAGAGATGTTGGTAGCTTGGACTTGGCCAGTGGCTAGTAGACACACAGAGAAAGATGCAAGAAGTGTTTAGGAGGTAAAATCAAAAGGACTCGATGTCAACACTGAGTGACGCTATCACACCCTTGGAGACAGACCCTAAACCTGTTCACATAACGTAACAACCTGGGCTATTTTTAAAATACAAATTCCTGGGCTGTATTCCCTAGAGTTTGATTCAGTAAATCTGGATGGAGTCTGACCATGACATCTGCATTTAAATACCTTCCCTAGGAGATTCTGATGCTGCCTGTCGCAGACACTGGTCTAAAGAATCTTGGGTCTCTGCTACTTGACCCAGAAGGCCTTTGTGGAGAAGTAGGGCCTATGGCCCCAAAAGTTCATCTCCTGCTTGCTCCAGAACCACTTCTCTTTGGGAGGCTGCACCGCATTCTTGTCTGATTTTCCCAAACCTAACACAATGCAAATACTTTCCTCAGGAGCAGGTGCAACAAGAGTCTGAGGAAGGTCACCCAGAGCACCCTGTTTACACTACCAGGTCCACATGGATGCATGCCAGCACACACACACACTTACACACCCTACATCTCACTAGGCCATTCCTAACATTCCCAGGGCTGGGACTAAGAAATCACTACGAACATACCACACAATTGGCATCTTTCCTGGTGAGTTCTAAGGATTTATGATAACAGTTCACACCATAAACTCAGGGTCCTCAAAGGCCTAGCAGTTTACAAGGAAAGATTCCACAGATAGACATAAAAGACTGTGACTAATCCCGGTCCAGGAAGGTCTTGCGCTGTTCAGTGGCTGGCAGGAAACGTGCTAAATTTAACTTCCTCCTCGGGATAGACACTAAAATATGTGTGCTAAAAATGCAGTGTGGTTTCATTGCCAAAAGGGTGGTGAAATCTTGATGACTACCTGTCTCCACTCTGACGTATCACACTGTAAGCCCACAACTGCAGGTACAGTTCGTGACCAGATAGAAAATAATCATTAGCTGAAAACAAATACAATGTCCAACGAATGGTGCAAAACTTCACTTTTCTCATCATGTGACATTTCAATTCATACAGAGTCCTCTCTGGATGGGGTCTGGAGGGTCCTGTTTCTCTGGTCTTCCTCCCTCTTCTCCCCTCCCCCAGGGTCCTGGTCTGTCTTGCAGAAGCAAGCGAGACATTTGAGATTTTGAAGGTCAGTGCCAACCCCATCCAGGCAAAACAGCTCAAAACAAACCATCTCTTCACTTGCTAATATTGACTGTTTTTCATAGTATAAGTTCAGCATTATTATGCTAGGAAAATCTTTGTCTTTATTCTACTAAATATCACTCTTCACTAGGGTTGAGGAGGAAAGACAATCCCAGCCTGACAGAATAACGAAAATAAGATGTTCCTAGACAGAATACTAAGGGGGATTCATGGATGCCAACAGATGCACAGAGCCCTCCCCCCAGCCCAGGAAGATGAGACCCCATTCTCTTGGTTGGTGACTCTTCGTAAAGGTGTAGGAGGAGCCCTCTGCAGACCTGGCCTTGATGATGGCTAGATGCTCCTTCCTCGAGTGTGTTCTGAGGCCTGATGTAGAGTTTGATTTAATTTGGCATCCTCAGATTTTAGTTGACACCTATGAGTATCAACTAAAATTAGACAACCAGAAGAAACCTGGGACATGCTAGTGACTGAAGAGGACTCTGAAGGGCTAGGGGTTGCAGGTGATATTTCGTCTCCTCAGTTTGAAGAGTCTGACTTTGGAAAAGAAGGAGCATGAGGCTGAACACCTGACAACTAATGTAGTGTCAGAGAACAGGGTTTGGGGAAGGACTTGTGACTTATGACAGAAGATCTTTATGTCTCTGATAAATTATGAAGTAACTAACACAAAATATGGGCATCATGCACTTCCTAAAATTTTCAAAGAAGAGCAAAGTGTCCAAACAAAACTATAAAACCATGTAGCAACGGTTTCGTACACGGGTGTGCGGACTGGAACTGGCCCTTGACTAAGTATTTCCGGTCTGTGATGAAATAAATAATATTTTCTCAATATTTTTAAATTCTGAAATTACGTCCTTTCTAACTTTTTCAGGATTAAACTATTGTTCTTCTATGAAAAAATGCTGATACTCAAGATTGTTTGGGGGTGGGAAGAAAAGTCATTTATTATTGCCAAACATAACAATTTCAGGGATTTTTCCTTATAATTTTAATTAATTTTAGTAAAAGCCTAAAGTCTGAGAATGCTGCATTATAGAAGACCAGAATGGGTAAAGATCCTGAATTTTATCACAAGATCAACAATGTGGAACTCATGACTAGAGGATGACCGTGCCAAGATAGTTCAGAGGAAGCAGATCTAATTAAAATTTCAACAGTAGTGTATATGTCAAAAAGGAAATCACAAAACTGAAAATGGAAGCATATGGACGGGGATGAAAGAAGAAAGGAACAGGAAAATAAAACCTGGTAGGAGTAGAGAACTGATGTTAAGATAAATGGAAGACATGGATGGTGCTGTTTAAATTCAGATTGCAAAACTAATCCAAAGCAAAGCAGGATATGTCTCCTTCCACTGGAGGCAGAGCACCTAGTAAATTCTTGCCTAACTGACAATTTCACTTACTAGAATGTTGAAGAAAGATGGTCAGACATAATTTTTATAGATTTCAAGAAGTCAGATTTCAAAATGTTCCAAGGAAAATTACCTAAGGGGTTTATAAGGGACAGTGAGTTTTCAAACGTGAAGTTCCAATAGTTTTATCCCAAAGGCTCCTGCTGAGGAAGAAAAGGCGCTTCACCAACCAGAGCACAGCTCACCGGTTGTCTTCTGATGCCATCAACCTACGAGCAGAGATGAATGTCAAGTCTCTTATATTAAAAAATGAACCAAACAAGTAAAGCAAGGACAGTTCAT